GCGGGGAAAGGGGGGGGGGCATCCCTCTCTTGAAAATCATGTCACATCCTGGATCCAAGTTCTAGCTTCACCACATATTAGATGCATGTCTCTGAGCAATTTTCTTAATATCTGTGTCTCAGATTGCTCATCTGCAAAATACAAATACCACCAGCACCTATTTTGTTGAGTGTGAGGATTAACTGATGATATATTTAAAGCACTTAGCACATAACAAACGTTACCTCATCCAGAATGCTGAGCACTATTACAGTCTTAGAAATGACAGCATAAAAGCATGTTTACTGGCATTTATTAGCATAGGAAGATATTTGCAACATACTAAGTGAATTGACAGCATGCAAAATACTCATTTTTGTAAGTGAACAGAAACAAATAGTTCCTAAAGTTATAAGTGATTATTTCTGGCTAGAGAGCTTATAGATCTTCTATTTCACGGTTTTAGCTTACTTGCATTTTCCAATTTCTCTACAATAAGCACATACTACGTCTATAAAATTTAAAGGGTTTCTATTGCCAACATGTATAGCACATGGTAAGTGGTCAATAATCAGTTATTATGATGATGTTACTTTCTAGGAGCCAGCTGAGAAAATTGCCAATTCAGCCTACCCTGAAAAGACCTCTCTCCACCATTAGAGAGATAAGAAACCCACCACTTAGATTTGTTTTGTCCACATTGGCTCTCAGCCCTAGGCTCATTTTTTTTTTAATTTTATTTACTGATTTTTAGAAAGAGAGAGGATGGGGGGGGGCGGGGAGAGAAACATTGATTTGCTGTTCTACTTACTTTGTCCAGCTTTGGCCATCAGGAGTCTGGATTAGGACTGGGAGTCAAAGCTCAAAGTAATAGATTAAGTACATGGATGACCTTGTCCTCTGACTACTAACTTTGCTTGAGAACCTCAGCAGAGGTGGGGGACCTGGGGCAAGATTAGGTGCCTGGGACCCTGTGCTCCTGTTTGTCTTCTCTCATTCCCACACTTCCCTGCACATCCTTTAACACAACATTCAGAAAGAAGGCTCCAAATGCATCAATGAGATATTAAACCTGGTGCCACTGTTTGAAACAGGGAAAGAAAAGAACTCCAGTCTGAGACCAGAAGTGGAACTGACAGTAATAAGTAAAACTTAATTTTGCAGCAAGTTTACCTGGAGGTGTTAACATCACAGCCAAGTGAAAATGTGGGATTGGAACTTGGGAAAAGGTTATCCTAAGACATTACCTGGCTTACAGGAAATCAAAGAGCCCCAGGAAAAGGAAGAGATATTAGAACACAAAGAGAAAGGAGA